GTCCTTTCCTGGCAACTACTGACCATTATAGATTAATTTGTATTTTCTAGAATTTTATATAAGTGCAATCAGAGTATGTACTCTATTTTTGTCTGGCTTCTGTCAGTCAGCGTAATTATTTTGAGATTTATCCATGTTATTATGTGTATCAATAGTTGACTCCTTTTTATTGCCAAGTGGTATTTCATTGTGGGGATATACCACAAATTGTCCATTCTCCTTGTTGATGGACATTAGGGTTGTTTCCAGTTTGAGGCTATTGCAAATGAAGCTTCTATGAACATTTGTGTGTAAGTATTTGTGTAATCAAATGTTTTCAGCTTTCTTGGGTAAATACCTAGGAATGAAATGGCCGGACCCTATCTGAAGTATGTTTAACTTTTTTTTTTAATAATTTTTTATTGTTATGTTAATCACCATACATTACATCATTAGTTTTTGATGTAGTGTTCCATGATTCATTGTTTGTGCATAACACCCAGTGCTCCACGCAGAATGTGCCCTCTTTATGGTATGTTTAACTTTTAAGAAACTGCCAACGTTTTAAAATAGCTTTACTGAGATATAAGTCATATAGCGTACAATTCACTCATTTAAGTATTTAATTCAATGTTTTTTTTAAACTTAATTCACAGGATTATATACCCATCATCACAATTGAATTCTAAACATTTTTGTTCCCTAAAGAAACCCTGTACCCCTCCTTACTCTTCACCCCATTCTCCCTTCCCCAGGCTTAGGCAACCACCAATCTTCTTTCTGTCTCTTTAGATTTGCCCATTCTGGACATTTCATATAAGTGGAATCATACACTATAAGGTCTTTCCTGATTGGTATTTTTCACTTAGTGTAATGTTTTCATTGTTCATTGATGTTGTAGCATATATCAACGCATCATTCCTTTTTATTATTAAATATTCCATTGTGTGGCTGTACGTTTTCTCTACATATTCACCAACAAATGGACATTTGGGTTGTTTTCAGTTTTCGACTATTATGAATAACACTGCTATGAATATTTGTGTAGAAGTTTTTTTGTTGATCTCTTGGATATATATCTGTAAGTGGAATTGTTAGGTTATATGGTACAAAGTACAGTTCACCCTTGAACATCGTGGGGGTTCGGGGCACTGATCCCCCTCACACAGTTGAAAATCCTCATGTAATGTTTGACTCTCCCAAAACTTTACTAATAGCCTACTGTTGACCCAAAGCCTTACCAATAGCATATTTTGTATACATTATTATGTACTGGGTTCTTATAATAAAGTAAGCTAGAGAAAAAAATTATTAAGAAAACCATAAAGGGGGCATCTGGCTGGCTCAGTCAGAAGAGCATGTGACTCTTGATCTCGGGGTCATGAGTTTGAGCCCCATTTTGGTATGGAGATTACTAAAAATAAAATAAAACTTAAAGAAAATCATAGGGAAGGGGCGCCTGGGTGGCCCAGTCAGTTAAACGTCTGCCTTCAGCTCAGGTCGTGATCCCAGGGTCCTGGGATCGAGCCCCGCATCGGGCTCCCTGCTCAGAGGGGAGTCTGCTTCTCCCTCTGCCTGCCACCCTGCCTACTTATGCTCTCTACCTCTGTGTCAAATAAATAAATAAAATCTTTAAAAAAAATCATAGGGAAGATAAAATACATTTTCTGTACTGTACTGTGTTTAGTGGAAAAAAATCTACATAAGGGTGGACCTGAGCAATTCAAACCTGTGTTGTTCAAAGGTCAACTGCAGTTCCATTTTATTTTTATTATTTTATTATTATTTTTTTAAGATTTTATTTATTTGAGATAGAGGGAGAGTGAGAGAGCAGGAGCAGGGGAGCAGAGGGAGAGGGAGAAGTAGGCTCCCCGGTGAGCAGGGAGCCCAAAGCAGGGCTTGATCCCAGGACTCCAGGACCATGACCTGAGCCCAAGGCAGACGCTCAACCCTCTGAGCCACCCAGGCGCCCCTGTAGTTCCATTTTACACGTTCACGAGGAGTTCCAACTCCTTCACATTCTCAACAACACTTGCTATCATCAGTCTTTAATTTTAGCTAGTTTATTGGGTGTACGATGGTATCTCACTGGGATTTATTTATTTAATTAATTTATATTTAAAAAAATAAATTTTGGGGGCACCTGGGTGGCGCAGTTGGTTAAGTGAATGACTCTTGATCTCAGCTCAGGTCTTGATCTGAGGGTCATGAGTTCAAGTCCCGTGTTGGGCTCCATGCTGGGTGTGGAGACTATTTAAAAAATTAAAAAATAAAAATAAGTATTTTATTTTTAAGTAATCTTTACACCCAACGCGGGGCTCAAACTCACAACCTGGAGATCCAAAGTTGCATGCTCCACTGACTGAATCAGCCAGGTGCCCCTCTCACTGGGTTCTATTTTTTTTTATTTTTTTATTTTTTAAAGATTTTATTTATTTATTGGACAGAGAGAGACAGCGAGAGCAGGAACACAAGCAAGGGGAGTGGGAGAGGGAGAAGCAGGCTTCCTGCTGAGCAGGGAGCCCGATGTGAGACTCGATCCCAGGACCCTGGGATCATGACCTGAGCCGAAGGCAGACGCTTAACGACTGAGCCACCCAGGCGCCCTCTCACTGGGTTTTAATTTGCATTTCCTGACAATTAATGCTGGTGAACATCTTTTCATATGCTTGTTTAATATCCACATATCTTCTTTGGTAAAGTATCTGCTTAAATATTGCCCATTTAAAAATTGGATTTTATTCTTTGTTATATATAATAATGTATATTCTGATTAGAAGTCCTTTATCAGATATATGACTTGCAAATATTTTCTCATAGTCTGTTGCTTGTCTTTTCATGCTCTTAATAGTATCTTTTGAAGAAGAGGAGGTTTAAAGTTTTGATGAAGTATAATTTATACTTGTAAATTTTAGGAACTGTGCTTTCAGTGTCAGCCCTTGCACATTTGTGTAGGGGGGTCAGATTTATCTCCATATTTCATATTTTTGATGTGCTGTAAATGGTACTATTTAAAAATTTCTATTTCCGATTCTTCATTGCTATGACATGGAAATAAAGTTGATTTTTTTTGTACATTGACCGTCTATCCTCCAACTTAATTAACTTATTATTTTTAGTAGTTAAACAGTTATCTGCTTATTCCTATCTTCTGTTGGAATTTAAGTAATAAGGCAAAATCTTGTGGGCTTGCCCATGTTATCACCACTTCCAGTGTCCTCCATTACTTTGTAAAATTCCATATTTTCATCTGGTATTTTTTCCTTCTGCCTGAGAATTTCCTTTAACATTTTTTTTAAAGATTTTATTTATTTATTTGAGAGAGAGAATGAGAGATAGAGAGCACAAGAGGGAAGAGGGTCAGAGGGAGAAGCAGACTCCCTGCTGAGCAGGGAGCCCGATGTGGGACTCGATCCCGGGACTCCAGGATCATGACCTGAGCCGAAGGCAGTCCCTTGACCAACTGAGCCACCCAGGTGCCCCTCCTTTAACATTTTTTAATTAAAGATTTATTTATTTATTTTAGAGACAGAGAGAGCATAAGCAAGCGAGGGGGGGTAGAGGGAGAGAGAGAATCTTGAAGCAGCCTCCCCGTTGAGCATGGAGCCCGATGTGGGGCTCAATTCCAGGATCCTGGGATCATGACCTGAGACCAAGGCAGACGCTTAACTGACTGAGCCACCCAGGCGCCCCACTGTCTTTATTTATTTATTTATAAAATTTATTTATTTGTCAGAGAGAGCACAAGCAGGGGGAGCAGGAGAGGGAGAAGCAGGCTCCCCACTGAGCAAGGAGCCCAATGCAGGACTCGATTCCAGGACCTTGGGATTACAACCTGAGCCAAAGGCAGATGGTCAACCGACTGAGCCACCCAGGTGCCCCCGCTGTATTTATTTATTTATTTTTATTTTATTTTTTAAAGATTTATTCATTTGGCAGAGAGAGAGAGAGAGAGAGAGAGAGAGAGAGAGAGTGAGAGAGGGAACACAAGTAGGGGGAGTGGGAGAGGGACAAGCAGGCTTCCTGCTGAGCAGGGAGCCTGATGTGGGGCTCGATCCCAGCACCCTGGGATCATGACCTGAGCCGAAGGCAGCTGCTTAACCGACTGAGCCACCCAGGCGCCCCTGCTGTATTTATTTTTAAAAATATTCTTCTCTATGTGTTTCATGTTCGATACTTTTACTGCCATGTCTTCATGTTCACTAATCTTTTCTTCTGCACTAATGTGCCATTAAACTCAACTAATGTATTTTTCATCTTCGACATTGTAGTTTTCATCTTTAGAAATTTGATTTGAGTGTTTTATATCTTGTGTGTTTCCACTTAATTTTTGAACAGATAGTATATAGTTGTAATAATTATTTATTGCCATTATTGGCTAAAACTTAACACTTGTGTCAGTTTGGGGAGGTTTTAATTGATTTTTCTTTTTATTATGGGTCATATTTTCCTGTTTCTTTTCATGTCTGACCATTTTTGTTTGGATGCTAGGCATTTAACCTTTGGACGGTGGATATTATTGTATTCCTATAAATATCCCTTAAATTTGTTCTGGAACACAGTTACTTGGAAGTAGTTTGAAACTTCCTGGTAAGATTTGCTAGGCGAAACTGTGTTTTTGAGTCATGTTTAGTGCTAATTAATACCCACTACTGGTGTAGGACCCTTCTGTGTACTTTATGCAATGCCCCATATGAATTATGAAGTTTTTTGGTTTGGAAAGTTACTTAGCCTCTCTGGTGCTGGGTGAGCAAAGGTACTTGCTCTTCCCTCTACTCCTTTCCGGTGGTTCTTTCCTTGGCTTAGGTAATTTCCTCACGTGCTCCTCTCTGGAGTTCTTTCTGTGCTGCTCCTTCCTCTCTGGTGCACTGTCTTGCAAACTCCAGCTGCCTAGGACTATCTGGACTTTACACGCTATCTCATCAACTTAAAGTTTACTGGGATCTACCTGGTTTCCCCCTTCATGCATTGTAACCTGTAATCTCTGTCAAGGCAGTAAGCTGGGCAATCAGACAACTCACCTCATTTATTTCTTGTCTCTTAGGGTTCGCTGTCCTTTGTTATCTGAGGTCCAATATCTTGGAGATCAATGTTTCATATATTTTGTCCAGTGCTTTTAGCTGTTTCAAGCAGGAGAGAAAATCTTGTCCTTGTTATTTCATCATGGCCAGAAGTGGACATTTGTATCTGTGTTTTAAAAATAAATTACTCATATGATTAAGGCAACCACTCCAGCCCTATTCTGAAAGTTGACATTTGAGGACCATCCTCTAAACCTATTGGACTACTCACTGATTTTTAGTCATTCATATATCTTTGTTTCTATGTCTTTGCTTTTTCAGTTCCCTACGTCCTGAATACTTTCTCCTCCTTTGTTTTCCTTCCAAATCTTAAAGATATTTTAGAGTTTAATCAAAATGCTATATCCTCCTTCTCAGAGTGGCAAGGCTTCCACCTCTGCAGAAAAAAATCATTTTTCCCCTAAGTGCTTCCATAGCAAATTCATTACATTTAAAAATCATAGTAGTTGTTCTGTTCTGCATCTTATAATTGTTTACTCATCTGTTTGTAAGATTCTTAAGGCCACTCTGTCTTTCTTGCACAAAGCAAGTATTACATTGTATCCTAAGGAATGAAAGAGAGCCTTAAAAGCAAAAAACTAAGTAGTAGAACAAAGCAGTAGAGAGAGACCATCTTAGAGTTTGCATAAGGTGGTTTTAAAGTCTTTTTTGGTTCAGGCAATCTAAGATTGGGTTGAAAAATAGATTTCCTTTTGTTTGGTGAATCTGTTAGAATACTACATTGAGAAGGGTTCTGAGGCCACATATTTACTCCATGAGAAAGCCAGCCATTAGATAATAAGATGTTGGAATGTCTCAGGTATTGTGACAGTTTTGGCTAAATGTGTGCAGTATTTTGAAACAACAGCTAACAAGTACATAACACATGTCAGGCAGTGTTCTAAGCATGATGCACATATCAAATCATTTACTTCCCCTGACAATGCACTGAGGTAAGTTCTATTAATATCCTCTTTATGTAGGGAAACTAGGGCACAGAGAAGTTAAGAAACTTGCTCAAGTCACACAGCTGGTAATTTCGGCTCTAGAGTTTGTGCTCTTGGTCCCTGTTATACTGTCCTCATATTGAACATTTAATGTTTCAGAAAAATTGAGGTAGTTAGCTCACATAGCTATACCTTTAAAGTGTGGAAGGGACAAACAAAATAAACTTGTTGCTTGTTAATATAATGGTCCAAACTTCCCAACTTCTGCCTTAGATTAGATTTATCTTTCATGATTCTTACAGTTATGTGTGATCCTTTGTGTTTTCTTTCTTTAGGGTCCCTTGCCAGCTCCATTTTTGACCCGCTCAGATATCTTGTGGGTGCTTCAGGAGGAGTCTATGCTCTGATGGGAGGCTATTTTATGAATGTTCTGGTGGTAAGAACTTTGGGAATGGGATCTATGGATTTTTCTTCTTTTAAAGAATAACTGGTATTTGGATCAGGGAAGCTTCATCATATTTACTGAGCACTCATCTTCCTTCTGGGCACCAGAATTTTCCTTTCATATTTTATCATTATTTTTTTTTCCTGATCTCAAAAGTGATGAATACCCAAAAAATTTTTTTTAAGTTGAAAAATCTCAAATATAGTATCTGTTAACAGTTTGATATACATCCTTTCGACCTTTTTCTAGATGTATTCAAAATCCTGCCAAAATTAAGGCTACAAAAACGGACCCGCTATTTTTTAAAGATACTGTTCTACATCTTTTTTTTTTTTTAAAGATTTTATTTATTTGACAGAGCACAAGCAGAGGGAGAGAGAGGGAAAAGTGGGCTCCCTGCTGAGCAAGGAGCCCGACGCGACACTCGATCCCAGGACCCTGGGATCATGACCTGGGCTGAAGGCAGCTGCTTAACCGACTGAGCCACCCTGGCGTCCCTATACTGTTCTACATCTTAACATAGAGTTATCTTGACCCCATCTACCCATATCACTACACAGAAACCCATTTCAGTCTCTTCAAGTGCCCCACAGCACATTATATAGCTGTACCCTGATTTAATCCTTCAATGAAAAAAAAATTGGGCTGACTTCATCTATTCACACTTGTGGATAATGCTGTAAGGATGTTCTCTTACATTTATCTTTTTGCATTTGTGTGTGTGTGTGTTGATAGGATAAATTCCTAGAACTGGATTTACTGGGTGAAGGCTTTAAATTTTCATAGATAAATGCCAAATTGCCCTCCAAAGTTGGCATACCATTTTATATGCCCATGATATAGTATGTAAGAATGTCAACCACTTTTTAAAACAGCCTGTAGTGTTAAATCCTGATTAGTTCTTAAACCCTTTAACCATATAAGTATACTTTAAAAATATTCTAGGAGGAAAATAGGAAGCAATTACAAAACTATTCCAAGAATAGAAGCTATTTAGAAAAATGTTTTTCAAACTTTGGATTGCAACCCATTAGTGGTTGTGAACACAGTTTAAGGAATTGTGACCAAAAATTAAAACAAAAAGAGGGCACCTGGCAGGCTCAGTAGGCAGAGCATGCTACTCTTAATCTTGGGGTCTTGAGGTCAAGCCCCATACTGGGCATGGAGCCTACTTAAAGTAATAAGAAATTTTAAAAAAATTAAAAAGAAAAAAAATTAGAAAGTTTCAGTATGTATCACATGTAATACTGTTTGACTTACGTGTATACTGGATTTTTATATAAATGTTTTCTTACTGTAGGTTGTGACCACAACAGTTTAAAAATAATTGATTTAGAACAAATATGGGTATTTCAGTGTCTTTCCTCTTTGGGAAGAGAGTTAATAAATTGAAAGGGAAGGGAGAAGTAACTCAGTAAAGTGGAGATGTCTTTCTGACTCAGTTTTTTTTTTTTGAAGATTTATTTGATTTTTTTTTGAAGATTTTACTTATTTATTTGACAAAGAGAGACACAGTGAGAGAGGGAACACAAGCTGGGGGAATGGGAGAGGGAGAAGCAGGCTTCCCACTGAGCAGGGAGCCCGATGTGGGGCTCGACCCCAGGACTCCGGGATCATGACCTGAGCCGAAGGCAGATGCTTAACGACTAAGCCACCCAGGCACCCCCATTTATTATTTGAGAGAGAGAAAGAGATAGAGAGAGGACATGAGCTGGGGGGGAGGGGCAGAGGGAGAGGGAGAAGCAGACTCCCCACTGAGCAGGGAGCCTAATGGGCGGCTTGATCCCAGGACCCCAAGATCACGACCTGAGCTGAAGGCAGACATGACTGAGCCACCCAGGTGCCCCTGACTTAGGAGTCCTTTAGTAACCCAGGAGGGTACTGTAAGCTGGACTGAGATTTTTTTTTTTAAACATTTTATTTATTTATTTGACACAGAGAGAGGGAGATAGTGAGAGAGAGAGAGCACAAGCGGGGGAGCGGCAGGCAGGCAGAGGGAGAGGGAGAAGCAGGCTCCCTGCTGAGCAAGGAGCCCGACGCAGAATTCGATCCCAGGACCCTGGGATCATGACCTGAGCCGAAGGCAGCCGCTTAACCGACTGAGCCACCCAGGCGCCCCAAGATTTTCTTTTTAAAAGATTTATTTATTTATTTTGGAGAGAGAGAGAGAGAGAGAAAGAACAGGGGGAGGGGCAGAGGGAGAGAGAATCTCAAGCAGACTCCCCTGCTGAGCACAGAGCCGCACACAGAGCTTGATCTCACGACCCCAAGATCATGTATGGCTTGAGCTGAAATCAAGAATTGAACACCCAACTGACTGAGACAGTCAGGTGCCCCTGGACTGAGATTTTTCAAAGCTAAAATGAAACTTTATTTTTTTAACCAATATTTTAAATTTTTTTGAAATTATCTAAAAGAATTAATACCTAGATTTTAACTAACTCCTGTTTGGAAAGAGGATAAAGTATTGAATGAATATTAACCAAAAAAACCTTAGAAATATTTCATCAGACTTAGTTTGACAGTATCTATCTATCTATCTATCTATCTATCTATCTATCTATCTATCTATCTATCTATCTATCTATTTCTATGACATGTTAAGTATTGATTTCATATTACTGATATTTAGATTTTTTTCCTGCTAATACAATTATGTCTAGTTCATATCATGAAATTAAATATTGATTTTGTTCTCTAAAGTGCAACAGCGTTGTACTTCCCAAATACACTTGAAAACTGGGCTGCAACAGTATTGCTTTATTTTGTAAATATTTGACACTCAAACTTTCATCTTCAGATGAAGAGAGTACAGTCGAGGGTTCATTTGCCAATAGATAGCTTATATTATTTTTATTTATCTCTTTGCAAGAATTTTCGAGAAATGATTCCTGCCTTGGGGATTGTCAGACTACTGATCATCATCCTCATAAGTAAGTTTGTTTTGTGAACGCTTTGCACCTATCACTTCATCGGTCTGACCTCTAGAGGGCCTCATTCTTCCTAAACACTAGCATGGAGTGACAAAGAATTGTGGCTCCATAGCCCTAAGCAGAAAGGTAAGTGGAAGGGTTTTCACAGACCCCCGTGGGTGGTTTTTAGAGGTGCCTCAGGAATTTTTTGCTTTTTGTTTCTTTCTGCAGTGCGGGAAGTCAAGAGAGTAGAGCTTTAGGTACTCTGTCTACTTTAACCACAATAGCTTCACTTACGTTTCCTCATTGATACATTGGATTCTGGGTTGTTCTCATTCATACAATGGACTCTGTATGTGATTTTGTCTGAAACGGAGAAAGCTTGAAAACCACTGACATAATCTATTTTCTTCCTCAACTTTTACATTTTTGGATTTAAAAAAAAATGATCTAGGATCTAAGCATGGAGTGATGGCTGAGGGTTGAAGACAGGAGCAGAGGGTGAAGGAATGGAGAGGTCAAGGAACTAGAAGGACGGCAAATGTGGCTTTTGAAATCTCCAAGAATTATAGCAGAGAATTACATGCTGAAGGAATTTAGGAAGAGTGCTCAATCTGGAGAGGAGGCGGAACTTTAGCAGAGTCTGAATGTCATGGGAGATTTTGGGTGGTGGCAGGCCACACTGGGTAGAAGAAAAAGGAGCTAGGGCCGGACTAGTAACTCGTGTTTCTGGACCTGCTCCAGTGGAAGCTGCAGTCGCACGGAGGGGGTGGGGAGAAGGCAGACCCTGGGGTCAGACGGTAGGGTCGCATCTGAAGGCCAA